AATAAGAAAATATTGTTTTCAAAAGTTTCATTTTTTGTTTAGAACGCAAAAAAAAAAAAACAAAACAAAACAAAAAAAAAAAAAAAAAAACCCCCCACACCTCAGAAGGTGATCAAATACCACCAAAAGAAAGCTCTATTTGTGTGAAAAAGAAGGACATAAATTTAATGTACAGCATTGCAAGACTGCACAATTGTTAAAAACTAGTGTAGAGATGTATAGCAAAAAATGGTGTAAATTGCAGTATCTATACCATAGTTTGTAGATGCTATAACGTTCACACAAAGCAATCAATATACACTTATTGGAATTTTTTTTGTACGAAAAGACATGTAGCAAAATACATTTTGGCCTACATTTATAATGAAATTTGAGTTTACTATACTGTATGTATTTTTTTTTTATAGCCAGAAGTAAAAAATACCATTTTTTTTTTCAAAATTTTCGGTCTTTTTTTGTTTATATTACAATAAATAAAAAGCACACAGGTGATCAAATACTACCGAAAGAAAGCTATTTGAGTGACAAAAAGGACATATAATTTAGTTTGGGTACAGCATTGCATGACCATGCAATTACCATTACTTACAACTTTGAACTCTGCTTTACAAACTATTGATCTCTAAACTCGGTGTTACTTAATCCTGATTTCTGAACTCCGCGTTACTTAATCCTGTTCTATGCATTACCTACTACACTGACTTCTCAACTCTGCTTACTTACTACTCTGAACTCTTTATATACTACTGATCTCCGAACTCTGCATTACTTAATAATGACCCCTGACATCTCCTTACGTACTCCTGACCCCCAAACTCTGCATTACTTACTCTTGTCCTCTGAACTCTGCGTTACTTACTACTGTGTTTTTTACAGTGGCATTTGTGATTTTTTTCTTGTGAATTTCGTCAAACCTTAATTAGTTTGCAATAGGGTCTTTCTAGCTTACCTTCTTAAAAAAAAAAAAAAAAAGTTTTGCTATATCTTGGTGATCTTGCATAGCTATATCACAGCTTCTATGAATGGAGGTGGTGAGGGGAAAGAAAATTTAAATTAAATCTGCAGCCAACAGCACACAGGACACATTAATTTGGGCAAGGTCAGTAGGGTGTCCCCAGATTTTTAATTTAAAAAATCTGGAAACTTTATTCTAGCTACACACCAATATTTATTGATTTCATTCTCAATTTACACAGCGTTTTACATATAAATTGTACATTCACATCAATCTCTGCTCTCAAGGAGCTTACAATCTAAGGTCCCCAATTCAAATTCATAAATGCACATACCAGGGCCAATTTAGACAGGAGCGGATCAACCTACCAGCATGTCTTTGAAGTGAGGGAGGGAAACAGAGTACCTGGAGGAAACCCACACTGGCACAGAGAGAACATGCAAGCTCCAGGCAGGTATTGCCATGGCTGGGATTCAAACTAACAACCCTAGTGCTGCAAGGCGGCAGTACTAGATATACACACACGGTGTTAAAGTCAAAAAGGGACTTTTCATTTAGTGGTACAAAAAAGGATGCTGGCGTGGCAGTACTACACACAGTAGTAAGTGGCAAGTGTGTCCTATTACCGATTGGTGGGCCAGTCCATAGACCGGTAATCAAGATGGCAGACAACCGTGTTTGTGCGTGCATAGAACAGTGTGTGGTAATGAAGTTTCTTGTGAAGGAAGGCGTTAAACTTAAGGATATCTACAGAAGACTTCAAGCACAGTACAGTGATGAGACGCTCAGCCGCAGTAAGACGATTGAATGGTGTAAATATTTCAAAAGATGGCCATATACTGTATGTGTGCCAGAGACTATCCCGGCCACGGTGGTTCCCAGCCCACAGCAGTCATTCCTGTGAACATTCAGTGAGTGAAACACCTGATCCTGGATAATTAATGCAAGATTTGTCGTGAAATTGCACAAGAAACAAATCTTTCTATGGGAACGGTGAACACAATGATGACAAAGTGAAGCAGGCTGTTCTAGGATGGTTCAGGCGTACTGACAAATCTTTCTATGGCGAAACTTTCCAGGTATTAGTTAAAAGCTGGGATAAGTGTATAAATATAGCAGGGGAGTATGTAGAAAAAAAAAAAAATAAATGTAGTTTTTCACTCCTGGAAATGTGTTCTTTTAACACACACACACACACACACACACACACACACACACACACACACACTATTGCCAAAAATATTGGGACACCCCTCCAAATGATTGGATTCAGGTGTTCCAATCACCTCCAAGGTGTATATAATCAACCGCCTAGACATGCAGACTGCTTCTACAAACATTTGTGAAAGAATGGGTCGCTCTCAGGAGCTCAGTGAATTCAAATGTGGTACCGTGATAGGTTGCCACCTGTGCAATATGTCCATCCGTGAAATTTCCTTGCTACTAAATATTCCACGGTCAACTGTTAGTGGTATTATAACAAGTGGAAGCAACTGGGAACAACAGCAACTCAGCCATGAAGTGGTAGGCCATGTACAAAATGACAGAGCAGGGTGAGCACATGCTGAAGCGCACAGTGCGCAGAAGTAGCCAACTGTCTGCAAAGTCAATAGCTAAAGCCCCCCAAACTTTGTGTGGCCTTCAGAACAACAACAGTGCATAGAGAGCTTCATGGAATTGGTTTTCATGGTCGAGCAGCTGCATCCAAGCCTTACATCACCAAGTGCAATGCAAAGCATCAGATGCAGTGGTGTAAAGCACGCCGCCACTGGACTCCAGATCTATGTGAATGTGTTCTCTGGAGTGATGAATCACGCTTCTATGTCTTGCAATCCGATGGACGTGTCTGGGTTTGGTGGTTGCCAGAACAGTACTTGCCCATCTGCATTGTGCCAAGTGTAAAGTTTGGTGGAGGGGGGATTATGGTATGGGGTTGTTTTTCAGGGGTTGGGCTTAGCCCCTTAGTTCCAATGAAGGGAACTCTTAAGGAGTCAGCATAACAAAACATTTTGGATAATTTCATGCTCTCAACTTTGTAACAATTTGAGGATGGCCCCTTCCTATTCCAACATGACTGTGCACCAGTGCACAAAGCAAGGTCCATATAGACCTCAACCCGATAGGACACCTTTGGAATTAGAGGGGAGAGTGTGAGCCAGGCCTTCTTGTCTGACATCAGTGCCTGACCTCACAAATGCTCTTCTGGAAGAATGGTTAAACATTCCCATAGACACTCCTAAACCTTGTAGACAGCCTTCCCAGAAGAGTTGAAGCTGTTCTAGCTGCAAAGGGTGGGCCAACTCAATGAACCCTATGGACTAAGACTGGGATGCCATTAAAAGTTCATGTAAAGGCAGGCATCCCAATACCTTTGGCAATATAGTGTATAAACACACACACACACTTTAGTCAGAGAATAGCATCAAGTTAATTAATCTCCTGGGATATTGATCTGGTCAGTTAGGTAGCAGAGAAGGTTGTTAATCAGTTTTAGCTGCTTTGGTGTTAATGAAATTACCAACAGGTGCACTTGATGGGCAACAATGAGGCAACCCCCCAAAACAGGAATGGTTTTACAGGTGGAGACCACTGACATTTTTTTTCCCTACTCATCTTTTCCGACTGATTGTGACTAGTTTTGAATTTGGCTAGGGTCAGTGTCACTACTGGTAGCATGAGGCGATACCTGAACCCTACAGAGGTTGCACAGGCAGTACAACTCCTCCAGGATGGCACATCAATACGTGCCATTGCCAGAAGGTTTGCTGTGTCTCCTAGCACAGTCTCAAGAGCATGGAGGAGATTCCTGGAGACAGGCAGTTACTCTAGGAAAGCTGGACAGGGCCGTAGAAGGTCCTTAATCCATCAGCAGGACAGTTATCCACTTCTTTGTGCAAGGAAGAGCAAGATGAGCACTGCCAGAGCCCTACAAAATGACCTCTAGCAGGCCACTGATGTGAATATCTCTGATCAATCAATTAGAAACAGACTTCATGAGGGTGGCCTGAGGGCCCAATGTCCTCTAGTGGGACCTGTGCTCACTGCCCGGCACCATAGAGCTCGTTTGGCATGGAAAACTGAACACCAGAATTGGCAGGTACGCCATTGGCGCCCTGTGCTTTTCACAGATGAGAGCAGGTTTACCATGAGCACATGTGACAGATATGAAAAAATTCTGGAGGAGCCGTGGAGAAAGTTATGCTGCCTGTAACATTGTTCAGCATGACCATTTTGGTGGTGGGTCAGTGATGGTCTGGAGAGGCATATCCATAGAAGGACGCACAGACCTCTACAAGCTAGATAACGGCACCCTGACTGCCATTAGGTATCGGGATGAGATCCTTGGACCCATTGTCAGACCCTACACTGCTGCAGTGGGTCCTGGGTTCCTCCTGGTGCATGAAAATGGCGAGAGTATGCAGGCAGTTCCTGGAGGATGAAGGAATTGATACCATTGAATGGCTCCCACACTCACCTGACCTAAATCCAATAGAACACCTCTGGGATATGTTTCGGTGTATTCGGTGCCACCAGGTTGCACCTCAAACTGTCCAGGAGCTCAGTGATGCTGTGGTCCAGATGTGGAAGGAAATACCCAAAGACACCATCCGTTGCCTCATTAGGAGCATACCCTGATGTTGTCAGGCATGCATACAAGCACGTGGGCGGCCATACAGACTACTGAGTACCATTTTGAGTTGTTGCAATGAAATTTTGGCAAAATGGACTAGCCTGCTGCATACATTTTTTCACTTTTCGGGGTGTCTTTGAATTCAATCCTCTGTAGGTTGATAAATTTTCATTTCCATCAAATGATGGGGCATGCTTACGTTCCTAACACATTGCCTAGTCTATGTCAGTATAGATATCCAGCATGATATTTTTCCCCACTGAGATCTGATGTGTTTTCAAAGTGTTAATTTAATTTTTTTTTTTTTTAAGAGATATAGATATATATTTATTATTATTATAGATTTTACATATCATAGTTTTCAAAGACTTTGTGAAAAAAGCAGATGAAAAAAAAAACAAAAAAACAACTCACTGGAAACAGTTTGGTCCGAACACAGTAGCCAGGTTGTAGATATTCATTTTATTTTCGGCATGTCGCTCCACTACCTGAGTCAGAAAGTGGCAGAGGTACTTCAGCAGACTGTAATGAGTATCTGGCAATTCATGGATCAGCTCTTTTAGATGATTCTCTCTTTGTGTATCACTTCCAGTCTCTGTGAAGAAAACAAATAGATCATTGTTACACTGAAAAATGTTCCAGTATCTTGAATACACATTCTTGACTAGAGTCATTTTAATGAAGATGGTGTAAGTCTCTCATCCGTCATTTACTGTACAAATATGCTGTTATTTCAAAAATAAAAAAGATATTCGCTTTAAAATCAAATGCAGACTTAAACCAAACTTTGCATTTGACATTTGTCTTCGTTTAAACAATGTTTGATTATAATGCGATGTTAAGTCATTTGGCAAATTAAGTTCATGTGACCCGTTCATTTTTCCAAGAGAAAAATATCTGATCTCCCTCCGAATACCTCAATCCTCATCCACAATTCAAGGTGAACTGGAAAATAGCAAAAACAAAGTTTGTCCCTAAGCAGTGTCCTCTTGCAAGTATGTCTCACTCATACTTCTGCTGTTCGCCCAGGCTATCCATGAGATTTAAAGCTAAACATTCGTTCTTTCCAGAAAAAAAAAAAAAAAAAAAAAAAAAAAACACTGTCTGCCGAGCTAGGATTGCCCACCTTTGGTTGCATGAACAATCTGATCAAGTGTCTATTTTACCATATGAGAATAAAACAGTTGCATGCAATATGCATACTTACCAATCTTCTGAGATGAGACAGAGGAGCACAACGTATATAAGTAAAAAAGGACCTACCCCTACTACACCAATCCATTACAAGGACCACACCAAATAACTGCCAATGCAGAGGGAGCAGGAGGCGGGGCCGAGCCATGCTCTGAGTCTTAAGGACACAGAGGCAGCTTGGGAGCAAGCACACACAAGTGCCCCCAGAGCAAGCAGCTTTCCCTGGGGGCACTCGGCGTGGTGAAGGAACCAAGAGCGGCGTCAGGGGACCCGAGGAGGATCAGGGCTGTTATGTGCAAAACCATTGCACAGAGCAGGTAAGTATGACAGGTTTGTTATTTTTCAAGAATAAAAAATGAACCTTTAGAATCACTTTAAAAGATAAAGTCGCATCCCACACACAACACACACACACACACAACACACACACACACACACACACACACACCCTAATTGGATGCATTCTGAACCGCATCCGATTCACATGACATGTGAACCAAAGCCCTTTTCTATGGAGCCAGTTCACATATGTATGGGACAGCTGCTGTGCAATTTTAAAAGGAGTCAGGTACGATTTTCAGTGTGGTTCTTTTTACAAATCACACTGAAACTGGCCCCACACATGTGAACCCGGCCTAAAGGTTTGCTTCATACGGACAATATTATGTACATGACATTACATGCGAAGCCTTCCATCATAAATTATTTGATACATATTTTGGAAAATGTTGGTCTATATTTTGTTTCCACAAATAAACGTGAAAAAAAAAAAATGCCAAAAGCTTGCTAAATTTTCATAGGCAGTTCACCTCTGACTTTGGAACTATGAGAAATGTACAGTACCTGTCCTTAACCTACCGTCGATTAATTTTCTTTAATTCTTCGGCTATATTGTCTCTAAAAATTCAAGCTCAGATTTGTGAAAGTAGTGCATCAGTATGTTGTCTTTTACGGTGTCCTTTGTGAAAAATAAAAGTAAAAAAATGTCCAGTGGACACCTGATGATTTGGAGACATCTCTGCAGACTTCCTATAGGGAAACTGCAATGCTTGTGAGGTTTCCAAAATGCATTTTTGTTTTCGTTTCGGATTGGGTAAAGAATGGTTACAACCCTTCAGTTTATTATTTGCGGTCTTTGTCCTCTTGGAAAGATTTTTCTTTACTTCCTGCCTTAGAGACGCAATAGGAAGTTAGAGGAAATCTCTACAAAGTGAACTGAAATTCCCCTTTTAGAACAGGGTCACCAGAACATGCGTCCTCATTGAAAAAGATACCTTCGTCTCGATCTGATGACAAATCTAAAAAGAGTCCATTCACACCTTCACACTATGGTGTGTTGCATTAATATAAATAATATGTTGCCAGTTATGTTTCACTTAGCCCATTCACATAATTGTGCTGCCAACACACCCAAATGCAAAAACAAAAAGCACCATTTTTCCCCCCAAGTAGTGCACCACCATTCATGGATGCATGTGCGAATGGAATTGGGTCTTAATGTGTTGGCAGCGCGTTAGAGCGTCATTGAAAATGATTGCCAATGTACTGCGTGAACGCATGAATAGTGCATTGCAGTAATGGGTTACAACTGCCAGGTGTAAATGAGCCCTACATTTTTAGATATACCTTTACTTTTTAGATTTTGACAGTATTGAGGCTAAAGTTGATACGACGGTTCATAGAGTTTCCCAAAACTCTAATACGATTACCGACTTGCAAGATCGCTTGGAGGAGGCTTACTCTAAAAGTGATGATTTGGAGAATCGGGCTAGGCGCTATAATTTCCGCATTCGAGGTCTCCCTGAAATCGGTTAAAGATCTCACTAGCTGCGCACAAACCCTCATGCAGTCTGCAATACCCGATATCGATGATCTCCATACTGAAATCGATCATATCCACAGAGCGCTGATTCCCCCTAGACAAGGCGGGCCTCCTGGAGATATCATCGTAAAGCCTCATTTTTTCCAGGTCAAGGAAGCAGTAATGAAGTATAGCAGAGAGACTCCGGATCTGGATTTTGAAGGTCATAAGATACAAAATTTTCGCTGATGTTTCGCTGACTACCATCCAGAAAACGGGGGATCCTTTAAGCCTCTACTTTCCCATTTGGTGCAGAAGGGTATCCGGTATCGCTGGGCCTTCCCTTTTCGCCTACAATTCAATCTTAATGGAAAGCCTTATGAGTTCTCCACATTCCAGGATGGCGAGCAATTGTTACTACAATTGGGCATTATATCTCAGAGTCCTACATTTCACTCCCCAGCAAGATCGGCTTCTCGACCTCAGTTCGCTTTTCACCTTCGTGGACTGCTTCAAATCCCCAAAAGACCAGGCCGCGGAAATCACCCAGGAAGACTTCCTAAGTTTCTACAGCTTTTCACGGGACTCCTAGGTGGTGGTTCCTCGGGAACATTGGCCACTACTTTTCTGCTGTTGTGGGAGGTTTGGCGGGGGGGAGGGGCCTTGGGGTTACCGCTTATTTACATGCTGATTTCTTTATCAGAGGGATAGGTTGCATTTTTAACTACTAATTGTTATGTTATTGGTGGGTTGTTGTTGGTTCCGGGGAGTGTCTATGCGCCCTCCCTGATTAGAAGACTCTTCCCCGAGTTGTTTTCTCCAGGTAGACCCATTCCTTTGCAGGGCTATTGCTCTGCTATTACAGGTGTGAAGTTTGATTTGCCTATGTTACAAAAGTTTGTATATCACCTTCGGTTGCTTGACATGAGGATTTCTCTATTTCAAATGTCTCTTCTTCCTTCTTTTTTCCTTTCTCTCCTTTCTTTATTGTCCTCCCTCTCTTTCCCCCCCTTTTTTTTTTTTCTCTCCCAGGGTCAGCCGTCAGCGTATCTGGATCCTTTGGACCCTTTTTATGCTCCAGGTGCGGAGGGTCCCCATTCTATATAGTTTTTTAATTGCCGATGGTCTTCCCTATGGTCTCTGTTAGGGATCGAGTGTGACCAGAGGTGAGTGGACTGACACAGGGAAGTAGCAGGCTTCAGGAACACAGGCGCAGTCAGGGCTGGAGAGGTGGAATGGTCAGGCAGGCCGTTAAGTACTGTCAGGCACCGCCCGGCGGGATCTCTAGTACCCACAGAACGGGATTCCCCAGGACGCGGAGTCTAAGCCCCAGTCTGCCTTTTCACCAGAGCCCCTGATGGTGGGGATGGACTTGGCACAGGACTGAAACCAGGTCGTGGCCCCTGAGCGCACCCAACTGTGGTAGAGGGGTCCGCCGAGGGTATGTACCGTGGGAAAGCCTGACGTGAAGAGACTGGCAGACCTGGTAACAGGGACAGATCCGTGCGGGATGGATGGATCATCTGGGTAGCGTCAGGCCTAGTCAGGCAGGCCAGGTCAGCAACGTGCGGGCAGCGAGGTACCGGAGGAGCAGGCAGAGAATAGTCAGGGTCACAAGCCGGGTCCAGTAACTCACGGGCAGCGCGGTACAGAGGATCAGGCAGAAGGATGGTCAGGCAAGCCAGGGATCAAGCAGGAGAAGTCAGCAGAGGTCAGGATCAGGCAGGGTCAGCAACAAATCAGATAGCAGAACAGGAACACAGGATACACAGTACAAGGGGCTCATGGGAAACATACACCAAGGCACTGATCACAGGCCTGGTCCTGCTTAAATACACCTCCTGCAATCAGCTTCAGCTGATGGCTGACTGCAGGAGTGAGCTTCTGGTTGCTGAGAGCACCCGCTGGCCAGCCCTGGTACTGCAGCCCACACAGCAGGTGAGTCCCACCACCAGAGGTGAATCCATTCCTGACAGTCTCATAGCGGAACGATCCGTCTACTTTCTCATAGCGTTCAGGGGCTCAACTCCGCCTCCAAATGCATAAAGGCCTTTAATTCATACCGCTCTTTTGGGGCAGACATAGTTGCCCTGCAGGAGACACATTTCCCACCTTCATTTACTCCACAATACGTGCATAAAGATTATCCTGTCTGTTATTTTTCTAATGCCTCAGAGAAGAAACAGGGGGTTGCCCTTTGCTTATCTCACCATCTTTCCTTTACTTCGCCATTCGCTCTGATCCCACTATTTCGGGCATCCGCTACGGTCAGCGGGATAATAAATGCGCTCGATTTGCTGATGATGTCCTTATGTACATATCTGATCCTCGCACTTCTTTGCCCGGTCTCCTTCACCTGTTTCACCGTTTCTCAGAGACCTCCGGTCTTACTCTTAATTCCTCTAAAATAATTGCCTTAAATATGTTGTTGCCTGACTCGGAGGTTCGTTACCTTCAGGGCCATTTTGATTTCCAGTGGGCCCCTCGTTCTCTCCCCTATCTGGGGATTCACCTCACGAAATCTTTTTATTCTTATACAAGACCAATTATCTTCCGCTCTTCAAGCGACTTAAATCTGATTTACTAGAATGGCAGGATCT